TTTACTCAAGCGCCGCGCTCCCGACACCCAGGCACCCAGGAGTCGCGCTCACGCTCAGGACTCCTTCACAGATTACCTAGGCATCGGGATCTCGCTGCCCTTCGTGGCCCCGTTGCAGCCCTTCGTGGCCCCCTCGCCTTGTTTCGTGGCCCCGTTGCAGCCCTTCGTGGCCCCTCGCTGCCCTTCGTGGCCCCCTTGCAGCCCCTCGTGGCCTCCTCGCAGCCCTTCGTGGCCTCGTTGCAGCCCTTCGTGGCCCCCTCCTTTTGTTTCGTTGCCCCGTTGCAGCCCTTCGTGGCCCCCTCGCTTCCCCTCGTGGCTCCCTCGCTTTGTTTCGTGGCCCCGTTGCAGCCCTTCGTGGCCCCCTCGCTGCCCTTCGTGGCCCCGTTGCATCCCTTCGTGGCCCCCTCGCTGCCCTTCGTGGCCCCATATATGCATGCCCTTCGTGGCCCCCGCTCGTTCGCGCCCGTGGTGGCCCCATATATGCATGCCCTTCGTGGCCCCGCCGTCGCCATTTGTGGCCCCCTCGCTGCCCTTCGTGGCCCCGTTGCTGCCCTTAGTGGCCCCGTCCTTGCCCTCCGCGGCCCAGTATACGGATGCCCTTCGTGGTCCCCGCTTGTTCGCGCCCGTTGTGGTCCCATGTGCATGCCTTTCGTGGCCCCGCTGTCGCCATTTGTGGCCCCCTCACTGTCCTACGTGGCCCAGTTGCTACTCTCAGTGGCCCCATCGTTGCCTTCTGTGGCCCCGCATTATCTGCCCTTCGTGGCCCCCGCTCGTTCGCGCTCTTCGTGGCCCCATACGCATTCCCTTCGTGTCCCCGCTGTCGCCCTTCGTGGCCTACTTCGTGTCCTTGTGGCCCTGTGTCATTCTCTCTCGCTCTCGCTTTCGCTCGTCGTCGTCGCCGTCGTCGTCGTCGTCGTCGTCGTCGTCGTCGTCGTCGTCGTCGTCGTCGTCGTCGTCGTCGACGTCGTCGTCGTCGTCGTCGTCGTCGTCGTCGTCGTCGTCGTCGGTCCCCTGTCCGTCCCTCTTGGGGTCGGGTCGACGGTCCGCGGCCGCCCCGCCGATCAGCGCTGCCGCTGGCCAGGCCGACGGTCCGCGGCCGCCCCGCCGCTTGCCGGGGCCCGGCCTGCAGGGAAGAAAGGTATACCCCCTAAAATGGGTTCGATCGAAGACGAAGAGGGCGGGTATCGAGGGTTTGGGAAATACGCGTTATTGGACGCTCGAGCAGATAAGGGCGAACAGTCTCAAACTGATTGTTGTTGTCGTTGTTGTTGTTGTTGATGTTGTTGTGGTTGTGGTTGTGGTTGTGGTTGTGGTTGTGGTTGTGGTTGTGGTTGTGGTTGTTGTTGCTGTTGTTGTTGTTGTGGTTGTGGTTGTGGTTGTTGTTGTTGTTGTTGTTGTTGTTGTTGTTGTTGTTGTTGTTATTGTTGTTGTTGTTAGTGCTGTTGTTGTTGTTGTTGTTGTTGTTGTTGTTGTTGTTGTTGTTGTTGTTGTTGTTGTTGTTGTTGTTAGTGCTGTTGTTGTTGTTGTTGTTGTTGTTGTTGTTGTTGTTGTTGTTGTTGTTGTTGTTGTTGTTTTCCTCGTCGTTTGCTACTCCCCTTTCAGCTGTTGGGGTCCCATCCTCTGGCCAGCGGCCACTCTCGCACCAGCGCGCAGCCTCTCCCCTCTCCTCCCCGTCCTTCCCTTGACTTCTCCCCGCCTCCCCCTTCGTTCCTCCCCCCCACCCCCCAATCTACCTCCCCACATCCGTATCTCCCGTTCTCCCTTCCTCCCTCCTTCTCTCGCTCTCTCCTGCGCACCCTCGTCCTCTCTCTTCTCCTCCTTACCCCATCTCCACTCCCTGCACTCACTCTCTCACCGCCCCCCTCCCTCCCGGGCCTCCTTCCCGACCTGACATTCCCGCCCTCGACCTCCTCGCTCGACAACATTTCATCGTCGCTGCCTTTCCCGACCCTTCGTCGACTGCACCTTCTCATCACCTCCCCTCGCAGGGGCTCGATGGCAGATCTATGACACCCGCAGGGGGCATCCTATCATATCAGGCTGATGTAGAACAGTATAAACATAAACTCTTTGGCGGTCCGGACGGATTTCTTGGATCCGCGCTGGGGGCCCCTGGCGGCGCCTCCAGCGCCGCCCCTGGCGCGCTCCGCGCGCCAGGGAGGGGTGTCCAGCGCAGATGCAAGAAATCCGCGCGGACCATCGACAGTTTACTAGTAGAGTTGGCCTCGCCTTTGCCACCGGTCTGGTATTTCGCCTCGTTCCTTTCTCCGAGCCCCCTCTCTGGCATGATCTGCAAAACAGGCCGGCGCAGAGGAGAGGGTCAAAGAGCAGTGCTTTCTGGGTGTGGTCTCGGCGTGCTTGGTCGATGCAGCTGTGGGCACAGCGCGGGCTTGCATCGAGGGGGTGTCGCTGGAGAGGATGCTGGCCTCGCGGTGGCCCATCCTTGACCTGCTAGCCGAAGTGCAGCGCAAGGCGGGCGGGGACTCGTTGTCATGCGACTCAGTGGGGCACCCCTCGCTAGACTGGACGGAGTGGCGATCCACCGTGTACGCCTTCGTAGAGAAAGTGCCCCCCTGGGTGAAAGGTCTCACGGATAGCGATGCAGTGCCAGCTGAATTCAACGACGCTATCGGGGAAGCGCAGGCGGTTGTTTGGAAGGCGAGCTCAGCTGCTGTCGCTGATGGCCTCACCATCGGGGAATGGACGAGCCATTGCACTTTGGGTGTCATCACTGCCCATGCAGTGAGGGCAGTGGGAATGGTGATAGGAGATGGGGATATCTATCGGATCGTGCAGCGGGCGCTGGAGACCTCTGCGAAGACGTTCGAGTTCATAGAGGACGCGCTGCAGTCCCCCTGGCCGATCTTCGGTGTGCTCGGCGCGCTCGGTCTCTTCTCGGGCGAGGTCACCCGACCGCCTCACCGATCCTGGCCGGGCGCATGGGCCCATATAGAGCATCGGGGAGCAAACGCTGTATCAATGACACGCCTCCGTGGGGCATCCATCCGCGCATCACCATTGCGCGGGGCGGTGAGCGAGGGGGGGAAACGAGGAGGAGGAGCCCCTCTCAGAAGGCGGCGGGGCTTCTCAGAAGGCCTCCTGCCCTCTGAGAGGTGTTCAGTGTCTTGGGGGAAGGCTTAGAACACTTCTCAGAAGGCCGGGGGACTCCCGAGCCTTCCGAGAAGGCCCGCTCCCCCTCGCTTCCCCCCCAGGGCTGGCCGCCGAGAAGAAGCACGAGGCTTGCGGACACAGCGAGCAGCAACACGCCGATGAGATCCCACCGGCTTCGTGTCACTGCTATATTCCTCTTCCCCACTGAGCCCAGGAGCTGTGCCTGCACCCCCAGGCCAGGCCAGGAGGGCGCATACGATGGAGGCGGTCCGTTGGCGTCGCCCCGTCGTCAAGAGGGCCCAGCACGACACGCGGCTCACGCCTGCGGACCTCTCCCCGCTGCGGGGCGGAGCGGAGGATGCCGCTCGCTCCGCGGTGTGGCGGACCGCAGCCGAGGTCCTGCGCGGGGCCGCCGCGGCGTCGGGCGGCCTGAGGGCCGTCATGCTGACCGCTCTCGCGCACGACCGTATCAAGTTCTTGATGAACTTCTTCAAGCGCGCCGAGCGGCTGGGCTTTCTGGAGACAGTGGCGGTGGTGCCCCTGCGGCAGAACGTCACGCAGTCTTGCCAGACGATCGCGCAGCTCTTCGCAGCTCAGCGGGAGGGCCGCTTGCCAGCTGGCTGGGACCCGTGCCTGCCCTTCGTGTCCGCGTTCGCCAACCGCGCGCAGTGGCTCTACCTGCACGTTGCTGTGCAGCTTGGACTCGCTGCCCTGTGGTTCCATTTTGAGGTCAGGGCTGAGCATGGGAGATCGATCCACGGGAGAAGAGTACTGAGGAGGAGGAGGAGGAGGAGGAGGAGGAGGAGGAGGAGGAGGAGGAGGAGGTGGACGAGGAGGAGGAGGAGGAGGAAGAGGAGCAGGAGCACAAGTTGGTGGTGGCAAAGGAGGCAAGAGATGAGTAGGAGGAGAGGAACAATAATAATGAGGATGAGGGAGGCTAGCAGGATAGGGAGAGGAAGAGTAGGGACATAGGCAGGGAGGCGAGCTGAACGGGGTGTGATTCCCAGGAGAGGATCTGGGCACTCCTGAGCACTGGGCACTCCTGAGCACCCCTTGGACTATGGTCTTTCCTGAGATGCTGCTTTGCCTAAGCAGTGTGCACGTGCCTTCGCGGTTTCATCTCCTCCCTACGATCCGCGCGGTAGGGGGCTGATAGTTCGGATTGTTTCTGGTGTGTCTTGGCTTTGAGGTCTCGGGGTGTCTCTGTTGCTTCTGGATTGTCCGCTCTCTCGCTGCAGATTGCTCAGGAGCAGTTCTTGCCAGTGCCATGTCCAGAATACGGAAACAGCGGAGACGGGGCAGGAGTTCTGTGTAGGCGTGCGCACACGATACATTTATACAGTAATTCGGACATGAAGCCCTCAGGTCCTATGGGTGCAGAGCCCGCTGCCAGTGCTGAACAGACTATTGGTACAGCCCTCGCAGGTCCTGCCATACAGGCACCCTTGCCAGCGACGGTGTTGTGCAGAGACGGATGCCGATGTCTTCCTGGCCGACAACTTCTATGCTGCGTATATGCCGCGACACACTCTTTTTATTCTCAGGGCGTCCTCGGCTACACAGTCTTGGCTTCAGCTCTTCGTGCAGTGGTTGCTGACGTACCCGTTTGCTGACGCTAGGCGTGGCCTGCATTATATGGCGTATCCCGAAGAGCCAGACTCTGTTCCCTCGATGTCCATGCTGCCTGGAAAGGACAGCATGCCTCGCGTCGCGATTGGAGATCTGGACGTGGAGCAGCAGTTCGTGGGGACTGACGGCTGGTTCGGGGAGATTGGCAGAATCTTATCCTCATCGCTTCGCGGCTATTCATTTCGGCAGGAACAGCAGGTACTCGATGGATCGGTTTTGATGAATGATGCCCGTCCGGAGGGTTCTCGACGGGGGTTGCCCGTGGGCCGTTGTCCACTACGCATGTCTTTGTTTGTTTTTCGCTGTGACATGTATGTGCTTGTTGTTCTCATGCGGTGAGAACTGGGATGATGCAATTCACTTAGCCGTCGGGCGCTGTGCGACGCATTGCGGTGGAATGCATTGCATCGGAGTGCCCTCGTGCAGCTGGCCATGACACTACGCGTGCGCGTGACCGTGCTGTTCATTTGAACTCCGTGAGGCCGCTGGGCGTACGATAGAATGTGAGATGTGTCAAACTATTCTGGTGCAGTGATCATATTTTGCCACATGAAGCCTGTCCCTTACGTGTGTTTACACATGCAGCTATACATGTATACACAGACATACACAGTATGTTCGATCTTAGTCAGCGTGGTACTGAAACAGTGTTCCCTTGCATCCTATGCGGTATAATCTACATCCCCAGGCCGAAAGTTTTCCCTCCTGGAGTTGGCAATGACAACGCCACTGGATCACATGGGATCGTTTTCGGGGTGTGCAACAGTTTCGTGGATCCTATTTTGGTATTGTGCAGGTCCACTTTCCCGTGTGTGGAAAAACTAATGAATCCATGTATTTTCCTGGAGTAACTTTAACAATGATTGATCTCATGGGCCTACAGGAAATTGTATCCACTGGGGCATCATGCTATCTACGGAGATGTGGCTCTGCAGACCCATGCTATGTTTCTACGGGGGACGGGTTTTCTTACGGTGAAGAGAGAGGAAGAGAGAGGAGGCAAGGGGATGGGGGGGGGAGGAGGAGGGAGGGGGACGGAGGTGGGAGGGGGATATGGGAGGACGAACGAGGGAGGAGGGAGAGGGGGAGGGAGGAGGGAAGAGGAGGAGGAGCAGGAGGAGGAGGAGGAGGAGGAGGAGGAGGAGGAGGAGGAGGAGAATGAGGATGAGGGGGGAGGAAGGAGGGTGGGAGGCGGAGGGAGGAGGCAGGAAGGGTCCTCCTCTCGGGCCAATTCTTCGGGCTCTCTTTTGCGGGGCCTCTCGGCCCGCCCAGGGGCTCTCTCGGGCCATCTCGGGGGCCTTTTGGGCTGCCTTGGGGCGAACTTTGGGGGCTTCTTGGGCCGTCTTGGAGCGCCCGAAGCCCGAGAAGGCGAGGGCGCCAACGTCATTCGACAGCATGCTGGAAGCACACGGTTTTGCTTCTTGGGGCCCTCGAGGGCGGCCTCCTGCATGGGGGCGTCGTGGGGACCTCTTGGGCCGTCTTGGGGCCGTCTTGGGGCGTCCAGGGGCGCTCTTGGGCCGTCTGGGGGCGCTCTCGGTCCGTCTTGGGGGCGCCTCGGGGCTCTCGTGGCCCGTCTTGGTGCCCTCTGGCCTCCGGAGAGTCGCGCGACGGGCCCCAAGAGGCACGCGGGGAAGCCCCAGGAGCGCCTGGTTCGCGGCCAGAGCCCGGGGCTGTGGTCCCCGGGGAGGATATTTGCATCGTTCCATACTCATCTCGCACTCAGTATCCAATCGAGAGAATCCTGGGGGGCCCGATGACGCTCGACTTCGTGCCTCGGGGCACGATGGTGGCTTTCGAAGAGCTGCTGAGGGATCAGTTCTTGCCCCTAAGTTCAGGTCGGCCACACCGCGCCTACAACAGTTTTGCAATTTCGGCCCAGTCACCTCCGTGGCAGTGACGGAGGAACATCTTAGGGTCAGAGGTTGGGGGCCGACTATTTGCATGAGGAGATTTGCAGGTCGATCTGAGCGGGCTTTGCTATCAAACAACACGAAGGACACGCACCGTAAGATGATTTCCACACGCGATCTGAACGCCTTCAGGTCGACATGAAAATGCTAAGTTGCCCCCGTGCATGACATACAATGTAGTTTGGTGGCGTTTTTCGATTCTACCCCGTTTGGCGATTCTGATGCTTCCAAGTGTGTTAACGGTCGTGCAGATTGACCCACGAGGCGGCTGCGCCCCATCACGCCATTTGCGTGACCCATGATATTGTACCGGGCCCCGAGAGTCTAACGGAAATTAATGTACATGGTCGATTTGCCTTGGCCCGCTCACTCGCGATGCGCATGCGTGGCGGTGCTCTGTTTGACGTTTCCATGCATGCATTTGTCGTTCGCGAAACTTTCGTATCCGTTTTGTACACGAAGTTTTTCGCACTGCACTTCGGTTGTAGAATGGGCGTTGTCGTACGTCCAGTTTCCCCGCAAGGGGGATCGTGGATCTTTCGAGCTCAGTGGGTTCATCAACGATGACGACAGGATGAACATGTTGGATTCGCTTTTGCTTGCTGACGACCCGAGTGATGTGGAACAGTTGCTTCTCCCATTTCGTAAGATTCGATCTCCTTTGAGGCCGATGCAGGTTTTATATGACTGGCTGGAGGAAGGACGGGGCGCTCCTGAGCAGTGCGCTTGGGAGCACGTGCCACAGGCATACATTGGTGGTTTCGCCCGTGACGTAGAAACCAGCTTCAGCTGGTTGTGGGAGGCAAAGTGCGTCTGCGTTCAGCTGGGTAGTGATTGCAAGGGTGTAACCTGCGATGGAGAAGCGGAAGGATGCTCAGTCCGAGTCGGCCAGCCGATGCTTGCAGCATCACCGTTCAGCGAACATAGCCACGTAAAGAGTTGCACTGGCAGAGACTGCAATGCATTACCGATTCACCGACTCATTCATGTGAATTTTGCTGACGGCTGTTGCGAAAAGGAACAACGCCAGAGCTCCGAAACTGCGAAGCAGTTTGGAGCGGAGGAGTCGCGGGCGCTCCGAGGCGATTTTTTGGATGATGAGTTTCGAAAGCGCAACCATCATCTTCTGAACTTCAACCGCACTCCAGAATTGACACAGTACAAAACTCCTAGCGGCAAGATCGGATATTACGTTTGGAAGGCATATGTTCTTCTGCGTACAGTTGAAGATCCCGGGCTACCATGGGACACAACCGTCGTAGTATGGACAGATGCAGGCATCCATTTTGTAGATGATATGCGTCCGCTTGTGGACAAATACATGCGGGAGACCGATGTAGCTGCAACTCGAACGCCTATGCTTGAGGGGGATTTCTCGAAGCGGGATGCCTTTATTCTTTTGGACGCGGACTATCAGGGAATCATGGAGACCAGCCAGGTTGCTACGGGCATCATCATTGTACGTAAGACAAAGATGGCAATTCAGTTCTTGAGGGAATGGCTGGCTGCATGCGAGGACCCGCGCATCATGACAGAGGAGCCTTCAGTGTTAGGGTTTCCAGATTACTTCACCTTCAAGAACAACAATGATGACCAAACCGCATTCTCGCTCGTTTTCAAGCGCTACGGCTTCGTGCCTTTTTCTGTCGGGGAGCGCGACGATGTCGTGTACACCGGACGCAACCTGGCGAAGTTCCGGCAGGTCTCGGACGCCTTCGCGGTCGGCCAGACATCAGACCGCGAGGCGTACCTTCAAGCAGCGGACACGGCCGCAGCGGTGCATGAGGCGGCCCCCGACGCGCATGCTGACGGGATATAAGTCGTGCGGGCCTTCCAGAGCGTGCGGGCTTGTGCCTGCTGGAGCAGAAGGAGCAAAGAAGAGATAGAGATAGAGAGAGAGAGAGAGAGTGGAGATACAGGAGGGGGACGGGTCGACTCGAAGGAATCCCCTCCGACCCTTCACCGTTACTCAGCATGAGTGCTACTTTCATTTCGCCAGCGTTTTGGTTTCTCCAACGTGGACGTCTTCGGCCAGTCGGAGTGGTGCTCTGGCTGCTGCGCCGGCAGAATCTACCTGTGGTGCTGCGGCACCACGGCACCACCGCGCAAGGCGCCGAGGCACATCTCGGCCCTGGGGCGTCGCAGACCCGCGGGTCTGAGCCAGAACCTCGCCCCGACGCCGGCGCAGGGCGCACAGCTGGAGGAACATGCAGGGCGCCAACGAGGCCCCCGCTCCCTCAGGCGAGACCCCAGGGGGCGTCCTCCGAGGCCCCGGCCTCGCGGGACCCGCAGCCCGCCCGTGGGGCTTCCGGCCAGCCAGCCAGCCAGCCAGCCAGCCAGCCAGCCAGCCAGCCATCCAGTCAGCCAGCCAGCCAGCCAGCCTCCTCCTCCTCCTCCTTCTCCTCCCCTTCTTTCCTCCTCCTCCTCCTCCTCCTCCTCCTCCACGTCCTCCTCCACGTCCTCCTCCTCCTCCTCCTCCTCCTCCTCCTCCTCCTCCTCCTCCTCCCCTTCCTTCCTCCTCCCTCTCCCTCCTCGCGCCTTCTCTGACCCTCTGCTCCTTTTTTCCCTGGGGGGGGCCGACGCCTCGATGCGCCTGCTCGGCCCTGGTCCTTCGACCTCAGCTCGACGTCGGCTTCTCTGGCCCTCGAGGACCGAGGGCCGATCCTCGAGGTTCGAGGATCGAGGATCGAGATTCGATGCTCGGCCCAGCTCTCGAGCCCCGCCCGGTGGTGGCGGGCTCGGCCTCCACCCGTGCCCGGCGTGCGCGGCACCGCTGGGGCAGCGGAGCGGGGCGCGGCTGCTGGTCCGCCCTCCCCCCCATCTTCGCCGCGTCGGCCGGCGCCGCCCGGAGACCGAGAGGCGTCGGCTGCACCGTAAGGGTGGCCCTTCGCCCAGACAGACCCCCCAATCTGACGTGTCGATCAGTGAATTGTCCGTTTTCGGTGCCCTTTAGAGGGCGCCGCGGACGTCATCTTCCAGGCTTGCGCCCGCCAGGCTTTGGCCCGAGGTCGTTTTCATGAAACCACGTTTTGCTAAAGGGGGTTCTGTCCATGCCCGACAGATGGGGTCCTCCGATCGCTGAACGCGAAGCTGTGCAGTCAAACCGCATGGCAAGGATGAGCGATTTTCCAAGGTTCTCCTCGCGTCCTTCCCTTTCGGCCCATCCTTGGCCGCTTTCGCTGGCCGAGCCCCGCTCGCAGAGTGTCGACATTGCCTTCCAAGGCCCTTGCATCCTTTTCGTGCGTCCTTATTCCATTCAACGCCCCTGAGGGGGCAGACACCGCCGCCCCACTTTTTGTTGGAGCCCGGAGTTTCCTTTCGGGGGGTCCAGCACGGCCCCAGAGGGTCCAAGAAGACGCGGAGAAGAGCCCAAGAAGATCCCCAGAGGGCCTCAAGAGGGCCCGAAAAGGGCAAAATGGGTACGCAAAGGTGTCGAAAACGGCGTAGGAAACCGATCAGGGATACAGAGAGGCAGAAAGGAGCATCGCCAGTCAGTTTTGGGGCCTCAGAAGGGCTTCCAGGGCCCCCCAGGGCGCGCCCCAAAACCGTTCACGACAGCACCAAAAAGGAGTCCAGACGGGCGTGGAGGGCCCCGAGAAGCTGTCAGGGCGGCCGCAGAGAGCATCCGCAGGTTCCAAGATGGCCGCAAGGGCCCGCGGAGATACACGGGAGCTCGAAGAGAGGCGCCAGGAACAGCCCGATAAGGACAGAGTCGTCAGAGTCTTATGTGTTTTGCAGTGTTTTTCCCAACCATCCTGTGGTGTTGGTCTTCGTTTTGAAGAGACAGCGCCCCGCGTCCTCCCTCCTCCTCCTCCTCCCCCCTCCCTCCTCCTCTCACCCGTCATCATCACCATCATCGTCATCATCATCGCCGTGATCAGCACCATCACCCCTCACACGTTTCTTGGCCCCATAGGGAGCTCCACCGAAGACCCCAGTGCTGCAGGCCGCATGCGTCCCGCACGCCCAATTCGGCACACCCCTCACACGTTTACCGAAGGCCCCAGTGCTGCCGGCCGTATGCGCCCCGCACACCCAATTCGGCACACCCCTCACACGCTTCGTGGCCCCATAGGGAGCTCCACCGAAGGCCCCAGTGCTGCCCGCCGCATGCGTCCCGCAAACCCAATTCGGCACACCCTTCACACGCTTCGTGGCCCCAAAGGGCGCTCCACCGAAGGCCCCAGAGCTGCCGGCCGTATGCTTCCCGCACACCCAATTCGGCACACCCCTCACACGTTTCGTGGCCCCATAGCGAGCTCCACCGAAGGCCCCAGTGCCGCCAGCCGCATGCGTCCCGCACACCCAGTTCGGTACAGCCCTCACACGTTTCGGGGCCCCATAGGGAGCTCCACCGAAGGCCCCCGTGCTGCCGGCCGCGTGCGTCCCGCACACCCAATTCGGCACACCCCTCACACGTTTCGTGGCCCCATAGGGAGCTCCACCGAAGGCCCCAGTGCTGCCGTCCGCATGCGTCCCGCACACCCATTTCGGCACAGCCCTCACACGTTTCGTGGCCCCACAGCTAGGTCCACCGAAGGCCCCAGTGCTGCCGGCCGCATGCGTCCCGCACACCCAATTCGGCACACCCCTCACACGTTTCGTGGCACCACTGGCACCATAGGGAGCTCCATCGAAGGCCCCAGTGCCGCTGGCCGCATGCGTCCCGCACACCCAATTCGGCACACCCCTCGCACGTTTCGTGGCCCCATAGCGAGCTCTACCGAAGGCCCCAGTGCTGCCCGCCGCATGCGTCCCGCACACCCAATTCGGCACACCCCTCACACGTTTCGTGGCACCATGGGCACCATAGGGAGCTGCACCGAAGGCCCCAGTGCCGCTGGCCGCATGCGTCCCGCACGCCCAATTCGGCACACCCCTCACACGTTTCGTGGCCCCATAGGGAGCTGCACCGAAGGCCCGAGTGCCGCCGCCCGCATGCGTCTCGCATGCCCAATTCGGCCACCGAAGGCCCCAGTGCCACCGGCCGCATGCGTCCCGCACACCCAATTCGGCAGACCCCTCACACGTTTCGTGGCCCCGTAGGGAGCTGCACCGAAGGCCCCCGTGCCGCCGCCCGCATGCGTCCCGCACGCCCAATTCGGCACACCCCTCACACGTTTCGTGGCCCCGTAGGGAGCTGGTGGTCCGGACAGCTTCCCTAGGGCCAATCTCTTCGTCGTCGTCGTCCGTCGTCGACGTCCGACCTGCGCGCGTCGCGGGGGCTCCGCGTAGCGCGGCGCCCGCAGCCTTGAACTTTGGAGTGCGCGGGCAAAGAGGAAAGAAAAGAAGGGGAGGAAGCGGGCGCGATCCTCGTGTGGGCGTGCCGACATGGGCGTCGCGGCGCGCAGGCGCTGCCGTCGGGGTTCCCAGGAAAACTCCTTGCGGAGGCTACGCTCAGTGTCACGAGTTCTCAGAATCAGGCAGACCCAAACCATTCACAGTCGTATGCAATTACGTTCGGCGACTCCATGCTCGCAGTCATGCGAATATAATCCATCGCACGCATATTCATTCAGAATCAGACTCACTCGCGCTTAGACTCGCCCGCGCTCAAGCTGTCATACTCAGACCTATCGTTTTCGTTCGTGTTGTGTATTCTATCACACACTTCGGCACACCACTGATACGGTTCGTGACCCCATAGGGAGCGCCACCGAAGAATATATTCACAATTCCTGTATTCACAACTGCGTATGGTTGGGTCCTTCGCCAGGCTAATTTTGATTGTTGGGGGTGCCTGGTGTGTGAGACTCGAAGAGAGGTGAAGAGGCATCCGAGACGGCCGTTGGTGGCCCAAAGGGCGGTCAAGATCAGCCCAGAAAGAGCCCCGAGAGGCCCCCCAAACTGGCTTAGTGGGCTCTCGGAGAGGTGTCTGAGAGGGCTGGTGGCGCTCGGAAGCCGAGCATGTGAAAGGGGGGTCGTTTTGGGACGGAAGTGGTGGCAAGACGGCGCCCTGGCCGCAGCCCGGGCCCCCAGGCCGGCGAAATGAACAGGCCGCGGGGAGGGGGGGCCTCGATGGGCCTCTTTTGGGCTCTTGGGGGCCTCTTGGGCTTTCTGGGAGCCTCTTAGGGGCATCTTGGGGGCATCTCGGGGTCCTCTTGCCTGGGTCGTCTTGGGACGATCTTGGGTGCCTCTCTTGCCGTCTTGGACGGAACAGGCAACGTTGTGGGACAATATTGAGGCATCTTGGGATCATGTTCGGCACATCGTGAGGCCTGCCACCTATTAATGTGGATTCATGAGCCCTCTTGGAGCTCCCTTGGGGTCTCTTGGGGCGCTCATGGGGCGATATTGAGGGAGCCGAAAGTCGCTCTCTGGAGTTCCGGCATCCTTGATCGGACCTTGCCGGGACCTTGCTGTGACCTGGCCGGGGGTCGGCCAGGGTACTCTTCGTCTGGGGACCCCCAGGGGCCGCCCCGCGCGCGCAAATCAGAACATACATAAACCCTTTGAACCAGTTGCCGGAGATGTTAGCACGCCTCTAGCCCGTTGGGCCGGCATTGCGGGTTGACTGTAGCAGCGGCTTGCGCGCCTGGGTTTGGCCACCCCACGTCCCCCGCTAAGCCTCGTACCGAAGGTCACTCTTGTCCAGGGTCACCCGTTCGTGTAGCCGATCCATGCTCATGCGCAGCGCCGTGGCAGATCCACGGCCCAGCGTCCCTTCCCGAAGCCCTCCGCCCAGACGTCCAGCGCATCGAAGACATCACGACGGAGTTTTCCCGCCGTTTTCGTTCTCTGGCGGCCCTGGCCAGGACTCGGGATGGAAAGCCGGCCCTGGAGATGACGAGCGAACAACACACATCCATACCCATGGAG